TGAAATGACCTTCAAAATTGACCTCAAGGTCAAAACTAATGGTACAATTAAATGACCCCCTCTGTCCTGGTCAACTTTTATCTAAACCATTTTTTTGTAGATACCGTAATTTGGAAGATATTCGGGTCCATAGATTAAAATGACTCACCCTGTATATGGATATATTTCATACATAATTATATATTTTTATAAATATTTATATATGTTTATGTATAAATGTTGATAAACATTTATTCATAAACATGTATAAATATTTATATAATTTATATAATTTATTATATTATGTATGTTTATACATATTCATCCATGAAAAATTTCTTATACATGTAATTTAATTATTATTGCATATTTTTATTAAAATGTACTAAAGCTACAAAAATTATTGCATTATAGGTATATTTAAAATAAAAAAGAATACTCTCTAAATTCTTTTGAGTAAAATCTCAAAGAGAGTGAAAATAGCTATGTATTTATGGAAGTTGCATAAATACATAGCTGTATTTGTTCCATAATAGAACAGAGTGAGATCGCCCTGATAAAAAAAGTTGATAGAGAACGTTTGAGAACGATAGGATTTCTACCAATTTGTATGGTTTTCTATAAGTTTATATCATTTTCTATTGTTGACCTCGCGAGCATCGGATTGAGCACGATTGATCGGATATGAATCCTATCGTGTTTTATCGGATTTTATAAGATTTGTACAAGATTCCTGTAAGATCTGATTCAAATTAATGAATTTACGAACCAAATTTCATATTCAAAACGCTAGGATTTTTCTATCGTTCTCCATCAACGTTTTTACCAGGGCGTAACGAATGACAGATTTCCTAACAAACTTTAACGATTAATATTTCGATTCGCAAGGCAGAACAATGCTTCTTTTTGATAAATTCATTCGTTTCGTGCAAAAACATGTCGAATGAGTCTAGTTTTATCGAGATTGGATGCGAGGGAACTAAACTTATAACATTTACCATTGAAATAAATCTTTAAGGGAATGAAATATTGCCACTCTTTTTCAAGAAGTGAAACATTTTCACTCTTTTTCAAAACTGACTGTATTTTCACTCTTTTAGAGTGAGATTTCATTCCAAGAAGTTTGAGAATACTACCAGAATCGTCACTAAATTAGTCATATAGCCCCGTGTTGTGGTTAGCCTACTAGCCCTCTATCCGTTCATTTTTTTAAAAACATTAACAGTATATTATAACAAAGACAGATAAACAAAAAAATCTATTGGACTTTATTAAGTAAGAACACTTACTATCTAAATGAAAATAAAATATCTCAGACAATTATATACGAGTGTAAAACTAAAACATTAAGAATAAAAATATTTACTTAGGTGTACGATTTTTTAATTGTAGCGTAACTTCTATCATAGATGTGTTGACAATGAGATGTTACAGCAGACTGAGCGGCAGTCGCTGTTGCATGCTCAGACGCATTTACGCGTGTCTCGCGCGATTTGTTTGTAACGTAGCCTCGATTATTTTACTTATCCCTATAGTCTCTCTCTCTCTCTCTCCCCTCTCCCCCCCCCTCTCTCTCTCTCTCTACTGACCCTGGTCTCCCCTACATATATCTTCGTATTATATTTGTATCATATTTCTCAGTCACATTTTTTACTATTACTTAGTTGCATGTTACAGTAAATTTAAAACATTGCATCAATTTTTTATCATCCGATTATTTTTCTCTTTAAACCCGTGTATCTAGATCGACATACCGCACTTACCACTGGGCTCAAGGAAACTGCAGTCTATGATCGAATCTGATAACAAAGAAGAGGATGAAGAAGAGAACAAAGAAACAGGAAGCAAAAGTGATGAAGACCCGAGTAACGAAGACGAGCAAAGTAATGAGGAGCCTGGAAGCGAAAGCAAAGATGATTCTAAAACCATTGAAGATGATGACAATGATGATGATGACGACGACGATGATGACGACAACGATGATGACGACAACGATGATGACGACAACGATGATGATGGCAGTGGCGATGACTACAATGATGATGATGGTAGTGGCGATGACTACAATGATGATGGAAGTGGCAATGACGACGACGATAATGATGACGATGATGACGACAACGATGACGACAACGATAATGATGACGATGATGACGACGATGACACTGACGAACAAAATGAAGACGTCAAGAAGGAAATAAGCAAGATCGGTCATAAGAGAATTAGCAAAAAATTACGTCATGTTGGACAGAGAAAGAGCGGCACTCGGATCATTAAGAAGCATGATAGCCACAAGACGAAAAGACAAAGAATAAGAAGATGGGCAACAGAAGATGACAGTAAACGTGCGCAACGTTTTATTCGTCGCAAAAAGTTACATACTCAGAAAGGCAAAAAGAACCACATAAGAAAGGTACATAGGAAAAAAACGGAAAAAATTTTAAATAATGCGGAAATAATGTATGCAACAATACCGCAGGAGAATTCAGAAAAAACGAAGAAGATACCATTGTTAGAATCGTATGCTAATTATATTTCGAAAGTAGCTCATATTATAGCCAAAAACAAAGGTACTAAAATTTCACAAGAACGTCTTGCTGAAGATATCCAAGATATGATCAAATTCCAACTGAAACTGATTCAGGTAAAAATCGTATCACTACTGTACTTTGCAGAATATTATAAGAACCGAACGCGAAGAAAGACTTTTAATGATGTGAATAATTAACGTTCCAGATTACTTCAAAGGAATCAATATTCAATTCGAGTATGGAAATTACACTCAGAGATTTTCAAGAGTGGTATGATAACGAGAATCCTAAAACAAATAAAGGCAAGGTAAGTGATTTCTTAATTAATTAGTTTAGTTCGATTTTTCTACAGCATTATTCTTGTGATTCTTATGGCAGATATAATATGGTAGAATAAATATGATTACTGCAATGACGAATGATATTGTAGATTAATTGGGTCAACAAAATCAAAGCGTTGTTTGATGAGGCGCACGAGTCCGTGGATGACGATTTAATTCTAGATATTATTTCGCCGAGTTACATTAAAGAACTTCTCTCCTTACTGGATGAAACGTCGAGTCGGACAATCGGTAAGTTTTGAAAATGACTCTGATGAAAGTACAAAATATTAACACATATGCGCTTATAAAAAAATATATTTCAGTGAATTATATACATTGGAACTTCATAAGCAAAATAATAAAGACTACCACGAGTGAAATGAAAGACTTGTACGATGCGTGGGAGAACATTAGCAAGGACGAAAGTGAAACTCTGATACGGTTTGATATATTTTTATATAGATAATATTTCCTTATATTAATTATTTACTGCGTGCGCGGGCGTAACATAAATAATTATTACTAATTTAAAATCTGATTCAATTATATTAAATGTAGCTTGAGAGCACTTATTTGCAAGGATTCAGCAGAGATAAAAGAAATTCTAGCGTACGAATTTGTAAGAAAATATTTCTCCGATGAAACAATAAAAACAGTAAGTTTTATTTCATTTGTCTCTTATTCACACTCTTGTCTCTGTGCTAATATCTACATTTGCCTAAGTTAATTCTTCACTTTTATCATAGGCATCGGGCATGCTCAACGATATAAAAAAAGAAGTTGAAAAACTGATTAAAGATTCAGATTGGCTAGATGACGAAATTAAAGATTTTTTTATAGAAAAAGTAAAACATTTGAAGAAATCTATTGGATATCCGGATTGGTACAAAAACACTACGATCATGCAAGAGTATCTTAAAGGGGTATAATTTTTTCAAAAATTATTAATATTACTAGTTGTTAATACATTACTTTACGTAAAATTATTCTATTAAAGCTTGTTATCGGCCCATCGTATTATGAGAATGCTCTTCGATACAACAGATACATCAAATTGGAGAGCTTGCGGAAGTTATCGGAAAATGATGATGAAATCGATGAAATAATGTAAGATACAATTTATTATATAATATTATTTAATATGTTTGCGAGTTAAATAATTTTTATATGTTAACGAATGAGTTAACGAATTTTTATTACAGTTCAAAGATGAATCCAACTGCAATAAATGCCTTTTACGTACCCTATCAAAATACTTTAGGTACGTATAAAAATACCTTAAACATGGTTTCTTATTTAATGAAATAATATTATTGTACGCTATACATGCTCATAAATTATTAATATAATCGATCAAATTTTCATTTGTAATTATTAACTTAACAATAAAAGTTAATTTTTTCATTGATAGCTATCACGGCGGCGGACTTTCAGAGCCCATGGTTCGCTTACGGTCGACCACGGTAAATGAATGAATCTAATTAAAACTCAACACCACGTACATAACGATGTGTGTACTAAATTTTTTAGTACACACATAATGTGTACTAAAAAAACTATAATAATTTTATTTAATAATAATATAAATATTACATAAATCTTCATGGAATGTTTTTTAACAATTATTATTTTTCTACAGAGCTGTTAACTTTGGTATTATTGGATTCCTCATTTCCCATGAGGTTAATCATGGATTCGATCATACAGGTATGGTGGAAAATAACACCATTATTAAATTCTACCCTCACTTTGTTTTTTGTACTGTAATATTTACAATTATTGTGATAATATAATGATTATTTAATACTTTTTAAAAATATTTAATGAGAAAGAGAAATAAATAAATAATTTTTAGGACGCATGTACGATAAAAATGGTGACTTGCTGGATTGCTTCTCGATAATGGCCCAGGCATATGACAAAAAAGAAAATTGCTTTGTAAAACAGTTTAATAATTATCCCATTGATTCAAAAACAAATAAAAAAATAAAGGTATACTGCATCACTGTATATTTAAATTATCTTTAATTTAACTAAAGTTTTAGTTGGTCATTTATTTATCGGTCATCGATTAAATCATCTCTATTTTATTGAAAATTTACTGATCGTTTTTTACTGATTAAAATTATAGGATTATGGCGAGCAGACGATAGACGAGAATATCGCAGATACAATGGGATTGCAGGCGATATATAAGGCTTTTCAAAGTAAAGAGAAAGAGAGCAAAACACCGGAAGCCGCATTGCCGGGCATGGAAGATTTTACCAACGATCAATTATTCTTTTTATCCTTTTCCACTGTAAGTGTTACGAGCATTAATGAAAAATTACAGTTAATTCAAAACTATAAAGATATAATAATTAATGAAATATAATTTTTATGCTTCAATTATATTAAAACATTTACAGTTATGGTGCGAAGCAAATAACTACACCTCAAGTGAAATAATAAATCTCGCTAAGAATGATGAACACAGCGTCATGCAATTGAGAGTTTTAGGTTCTGTATCAAATTCGGACGATTTCGCTAAAGCTTATAATTGCCCGGTTGGTAGTCCGATGAATCCTAAAAAGAAGTGTAATATCTGGAAGTGATTCTAAAGAATCTTGCAAAGTAAACTTCTTAGAAATATCCCACAGAAATTATCCAAATGTATTGATGAATAAAATAATGCACTTATACAAAAACGTTTCTTTTGATTACCCTCTAATTTCTGAATATTGTATTCGACTCAATTTGTATTGTTCGATCTACAGGATAAAAATTAATTATCAGCAAATATTAATCCTCCAATTGTATCGCTGTTTTTCTTTAATATTATCTGCACTGGATGTCTTTCATGCCAGTACCAAATTTCTCATACTAAATTAATTGTGAAAAATTGAAAAAAAAATTTTTTTATTTTACATCTTTACTTTGTATTCTAATAAGTGTTTTTGAACTCAGATTATTTTTTTATATAGCAAAATACAGAAGAAAACTTTAACCGTTAAAATTTTTGTTAAGGCCGTTGGATCGACGGATAATTAAACGACAACTGAACTATGTTGTATGAGACAACCCATACAGCACCAAACTTCTAAAAACGTTCATAGAACATTTTATGAATGTACCAATATTCTTAGAACATTCATATACGTTCTATTAATATCATGTGCTATCTGGGAATGTATATGTATTTGGAACGAGTACAATATCTTTAGTATCTCTTAGAGGAATCCGAATACAGATATAACCGAGTACTACTTGACGCGGGTGAACTTGGGAGAGAGAACGGAAGAGACGAATATATCTCAAGCGTTCGGAAACGCATCGGAGTAAGGCCTCTCGCTGATAGGCGGCGGCGTGGGAGCGTGCGCGTCACGCGCGGTTAATTTGGAACCATCTCAACAATTTTGACTGTTTCTTAAAAAACCCACGTTGCAGACAGAGAGTTAAAAATATAACGGAAATCCGAAAAATATAGCGTTAGGATAAGCTTTTAATAACATATGATCGTGCTATATTTAGGTTGTTCAGAATTGACGCTCGCGCACTGTAAGCTTCATGTCTTCTTTTTATGAGTAATATGAATGATAAAAATAGAATAAAGCTTACAGCGCGTAAGCGTCAATTCCGAACGCAGCATTAATCTCCGAACGCATATTTAAAATATAATCAGGTGGAACGAAATATATATTTTGAATATCATACCGATTTTCGAAAATTAATTTTATCCTTTTTTCTTTTCGTGTATATTATTATTATATTTCCATGCATCCTTCGCTCTGTTTGCGATACATTTCGTGTGAGTACAATAATAAACGTGAAAAAATTCTAAAATGTAATAATCTTTTTCGTGCGTAACACAATTTTGCAAACAATTTGTTCTTACTTTGCGTTTCGTTTAAATTGCATAATGCGAATATATATAATAATCGTGAAACGACGGACGTCCTGAAAATGATAATTTGTAAATACTCTGATTATAAATAGATACATAAAATTTCCGTTAGTCATGATAAAAATTATGCTTCTAATTAAATTTAGCCAATAGATAAATAATAAATAACTGTAAAACTAATAAACAATTGCATTTCCCGAGAAAAAATGTTATATATATGGACATATAATATATATAATTATATATAATTGTATATAAAATATGTCAAGTTTTATATAATTATATATAATCTTATATAATTTTATATAATTATATATGGAATATTTTTTTCCGGGTTATTAAACAATTAAGGTGCATATATATATATATATGTATGCATGTATAAAATATGTAAAATCATTTATGACAACATTGGAGAGAAAAAGACAAAAGATGAACAGTTCAAGAAATTCAGTCCTAGAATATCAAAAAGAAACAAGCTTAAAGAATTAACCGGCCGACTGTTGTGTTTACAAAAGAAACAATTAAAATTATTTTTGTACGTATTATTATTGTTACTCATGCATTTTAAAGCGATTAGAATTGCGACAACACATGTTTTTTAAATGAATAACGTTAACACTTAACAGTAGATATATTTTATAATCTTTCACATTTAATTTGTACCGAGAAAGATAAAAAATCACGATTGAAACGTCTAAGTTTAATTTTGTTATCTAATTGGACTAATAAATTTATTATATACAACGATGTCAGAGTCTTGGTTAATTTATTTCTCAATTAAAATTATGTCGTACCCACTGTGCGCGGTTACGTACATTGTCATGGACTTTTCAAAGAAACAACAGTCAACCAACACTTTGTTTATCGTCTGCTTTTAATCTTAAACATTTATTGGCATTTAGTACTCATTACTATTTAAATTTATTACTATTTCATTCCCGAATTTTTGAAAAGAGGCATTAATCTATTATTTAGATGTCGCGCGCTACTTTCTGAATTAATAAAAGTTTGTGTGAGAAAAAAAACCTACAAATTAATATTTCTCGAGGTTGAAATAATGTTGATATCGGTTATCGCTGGTGCTATTTTGTTAAAGTAAACCAGAAAGGCAAAAGATACATCTCCGGCCTTCGGCTCTATCAATTCGATATGGTACTGGAGGATCCTTTCGCAAATAGTATAAAAGTCAGCTGAGCAACAAATAATTTCACATTGCAACAGAAAACGTTAGACTAGAACAATTATATAAAATTTATCTCAGCCTTAAACAATTTTGCGACAATGAGGCGGTTCATTCTTCTGTAAGTAATTTATAAAAATCATTTTTTAAACATAGTGTCAATTAAAAATAAATTTATATCTCTCTCATTTTGTCTTTAGAAAATTAATCTGCTTTGATTGATTGTAATTTAGGAAAAATAAAGTCTAAACGTATATATAATATTATATAATATTTTTTTTCTTGTTTCGAATTCTAAATTCACTCTCTGAAATAGTGATATCAATTAATATTATTCTTTATGTATTATATACACCATTTTTATCATTTCTTATATGATATATTATACTGTTTCATTTTGCATTGTGCTTTGCAGCGCCTTATTTGGCATACTTTTAATGAAGAATGTCACATTGTCGAAAAACCAGGGATATCCTTCACGTCTAGCATGGTTGTTTGGTTTAAACAATACGCAACATGAAACTAAGGAACGAAATGAAACTAACGACGAAAATAAGCCGACCGTATGTCAATCTCAAGAATGCAAAAAAATCGGTACTCTTAAACAGCAGCAGCTGTAGTTGGAATTATAATTTAACAGCTAATTAAAATCTTTATTTATCGTTATCTTTTTTTTCTCCAGCTCAAATAATAACGGAGAGCATGGACAAATCTATGGATCCGTGTGATGATTTCTACAAGTACGCTTGTGGAAAATGGTCGGAGCATAATCCCACTCCAAAAGGGATGAAGTCCTGGAGTATGTTTGTAAGTGCACAAGTAAATGTCATAAAGAAAATAAAAGGTGAATACCAAATTATCTGAATTTCAACAGGAAACTCGCGTGTAATAATATTAAATATTAAATCATATTTCGTAGAAATTTTCGACGAAGGTCCAAAGAAAGACGATCTTTTGGCGGTAAAGCTCGCGAAGAAGTGGTACGCGGTCTGCATGGATACAGGTAAATATGGGTGTAGCTTTCGAGTGATTGAACCATTCAAAAATTCAAATATTTTTCAAATATAATTGTGTTCCACGACATAATTCACGAAACGCTTCCAGATGCAATGGATAGTCAAGGGCTTGAACCGCTTGTCTTTACCTTATCGAGGATAGGCGGCTGGCCGATGATAATGGAACCTGATGAATGGAACGAAGAGGAGTATAGCTGGCAAAAAGTGGATGATCAATATGTGCGCTTGATAGGAAAGAATGCTTTTCACGACGTGCGGGTGAACGAAAATCGAAGTTCAAACGAATCCCAGAAAATAGTGCATGTACTTATCACAACACAAGCATTCAATTAAGATTATAATTATGCACTAACATTACGCTCTTAAATTTCTAAATCCAAAAACATGCTTGCGATGAAATTGATATTTCTATAATCTCTATTATTACATTATGTATCGTTATAAACGTTTTATGTCTGCGTTAGTCTTTCCATTACATGTGGACGTAAATTTGTATTTAAAACATTTACTTTGATTTTTCAGTGATTTTTATTAATGTAAAGTTCTTGTTGCCAGGTGTCTATTCCTCATTTACCTCCGGCTTCATTCAAACTCTGGGATGGAGTCGATAGCGAAGAGGAAGGAGACGAAAGCGACGAGGATCTCAGTGACGAGGAGAAGCAAAGCGACGAGCAAAACGATAGTCAAGAACCTGGAAGCGAAGACCAAGACGATAACCAAAATGATAGTACTAATAATAATGGTAATGAAGATGATGATAATAATGATGGCGATAAAGATAGTGACAATAATGACGATAAAAATGATGATGAAGAGGATGACAATAATGATACAAACAAACAGGATGATGATGACAATAATGATACACACGAACACGACGACTATGAAGAAAACAAGAAATCAATGATGAAAAAAAGAATCAATGTGAAAAAAGCTGGTAAATTCGCGAAAAATAAAAAATTGGAGCATAGTAGAAAAATTAAGAGCATCAACTCTAAGAAGCACGAGAATCATAAGATGAAGAAAGACAGGATAAAAAGACGGGTGATACCGAATGTTCACGAGAAATTACGCACGCGGAAGATTGAAAAGAATCATGTGAAACAAGCACGTAAGGAAAGAGTAAAGAAAACTTTAAAGGCGACAACATCGCAGATTAGCACCGAAGAAACGACTGACAAATCTGATGTGATGAAACTATATGCTAATTACATCTCGAAAGTAGCTCGCGCCATAGCTGAAGTAAGAGGCGTTGAAGTCTCAGAGGAACACCTGAATAAAGATATCCAAGACATGATCAAATTTCACATAAAACTAATTGAAGTGAGTGTTACTTTGCTGGACAATGAAGTGATAAAAATATGTTCATAAAAACCAAATAACGATATATTTCAGATTACTACCGAAGGAGGGAAAGAAAAGGAATTAACGCTTAACGACTTCCAGGAATGGTATGAAAGAAAGATGCCCAAAACTTCCAACAGCGCAGTAAGTTGTTTTCTAATTAATTAACTTAACCTGTAATTGTCTCCAATTAAATGAGTATAATTAACGCAACGTAGATTGACTGGCTGTACAAA